TTGTTGACTGTTTACATCCCCTCATGGAGGGATGGGAAGGGTCACAAGCCCCTTTCCTGGGTATCCAGTCATGCCCTACCACCTGTTGTATGTAACTCTTGATTACACTTAATTGCACATGGCCTCAGGGAGGGGCTAGAGTGTATAGGAGAAGTGTTTAGGAGAAGGAGCTTATCTATGCAGCTAGCTATTGGGAAGTCCTCAAGCCAGCTGAGTAAAGGCTTTCCAGGTGTGGCCTGTTGGGGGGAGGAGCAGTCACACCTCTGTAACCCACCCCTTACCTATGCTCTGTAAGGAAGCCCGATAAACTCATTGGTGCCCTAGAGTGAACTCAGATGGGATAGGCCTGAGACTGTCATTGGCACCTTAGGAGAAAGGGTAATACTGCTTGTGTTCCCCATTGGGAAAGGATTTAGGAACGAATATATATATATATATATATATATATATATATATATATATTTCTTTTGTTATTTGAAAGACAGAAATTGTATGTACTTCTAAGGAAATGTGTGACATTTAACACATGTTCACATGTAGGTTATGTACTGATCAGATGACCATTGATCTTGTTACTATCTCTGTAATTTCATATTTTCCAGAATATTCTGTTGTTGGAATCATCAGAATACAGCCTTTCAGAAATGCTTCTCTCACATGGCGATGTGTATATTGGTTTCCTTATGTCTCCTCCTGGCATGCTGGCACATATCTCGTTAGCACTGAATAATTCCCATTGTCTGGATGTACCAGTTTTGGGATTTTTTTTTTTTTAACTTATGCTCTTTCTAGTCTACATCTTGGTTGTTCCTCCATTTGGCAAATGTGGATGTAGCTACTATAAACATCCATGTGCAGGTTCTTGTGTGGGCATACATTTTCAATGTAGACATACATTTTCAGCTCATTTGGGCAGATACCAAGGGTTGAGCTTGCTGGACCATATGGTAGGAGTGTTTAGTTAGTGTTGATCTGCCTGTCTTTCATGGACTGCATAGCAAACCCCACACTGGGCAGGTTAAACAACAGACACTGTTTCTCACAGTTCTGGGTTCTAGCTTTCCAGTGTCAAAGGACTGGCAAAGCAGGTTTTTCATGCTGATTCTTTTCTTTTAGCTTAGAGATGACTGCCTGGTCCACGCATGCTCCCATGGGAGGAAGAGGGGAAGGGAGGCAACAGGGAAGCAATGGGGAGGGGAGAGAGGGGCAGCACTAATCCCACCATCATTTGACTTTGTTTTACCTTAATTGACTCCCATAAAATCCCTCTCTCCAAAAATAGAGGGAGGCGATTCTGCATGTTAATCTTGAGGACACAGAAATGTTCAGTTTAGCACTGTAAAACTGCCCTCCAAAGCAGTTACACCACCTCCAACAAAGACCTCTGCTCAATGCCTCCTCAGCACTGGTGTCAGTGCTCACTGTTTTGGGCCTCCTCCACATCTTCCTTTTTTTTTTTTTTTTCCTTCTTCTTCTGTTTGTTTTCTTGAAACCCAAATTTCAATACAATTTTTTTTTTTTTTTTTTTGGTTTTTTGAGACTGGGTTTCTCTGTGTAGCTTTGGAGCCTGTCCTGGAACTAGGTTTTGTAGACCAGGATGGTCTCAAACTCACAGAGATCTGCCTGCCTCCGCCTCCCAAGTGCTGGGATTACAGGCATATGCCACCACTGCCCGGCACAATCTTATTTCTTATTTTGTTTCTTCTTGCTAGGCTTGACATTCTGCCCCAGGGCCTTGGCCTCTGCAGTGGGGAGGGGCTGTAATAGAAGACAACCCACAGGGTAGGGCATGGAGTAAAAACTACCCAGTCAAAGCATGTCCCACCCACTCAGGAATTATTGTTTTTATTGTTCTTGTTTTGAGAGAGTTTCACTGTGTATCTCTGGCTAGCATGTCACTTGCTAGTATAGACCAGGCTGGCCAGAAACTCAGATCTGCCTGCCCATCTTTAGAGTGATGAAATAAAGGCATATATCACCATACCCTGCTGATGTATTTTTTAAAGATATTTTGTTCTTATGTATGTATGTGTACATATGCTTTTGAGTGCAGGTGCCTGCAGAGGTCAGAAGAGAACATCAAATCCCCTGGTGTTATAGATGGTTGTGAGCCTATCAATATGGATGCTAGGAACCCAACCCAGATCCTCTGCAAGAGCAGCAAGTGCTCTTAACTTCTGAGCCATCTCTCCAGCCCACAATGTACCTTTTTAAATGATTGTATTCCATCGTTTGTTTTTTTACATAGTTCTTACTCAGCTGCTAACAGCTATGAATGTGGTAGTGGGGTAAAATATGGAGGTGTCTACTCCCAACCCCCAGTTTAACTTGGGCTAGTCTTCATGCCCATATTTGAATAAATAGTGTAAAATAATAGGATTTTATTTTCCTATTAGGTCATCTATTACCTTGGTCATCTATTAGCTCTTTACATCACCCTATCAGGGTTAAAACATCATAATAAGGAACAAACACGCTGCCTTAGGGTTTCTATTGCTGTGATGAGACACCATGACCAAAAAAGTGTTGTGCCCGACTCACAAGGATCCCTAAAGAGACCAGGGAGACAGACCACTGATGCTAATGCTAATGCATGGGGTTTATTAAATTGTCTATCCTTCTGCAGGAGGGACCCTGTGGTCTAGCAAGCTGACACAGCAGCCTCCAAAGGGGGTGAAGTTCCCTGTCTACTGCTAGGTTTTAAAGACAAAACTTACAGGATTACATCAGTAGGTACAGGTTGGTTTCTGATTGGTTGACATTTGGGAACAATCAGGAGAATTTCTTAAAGTCATATTTTGGCATGAAATACCTGTATACCAGGTATTCTCATTGGTCAGTGCTGAGAGGGAACAACGTTCTGTGGTTTCTATGTCTTTGTCTTGTTACTTGCAAGTGGCCTGCTGTTCATAGATACCAATACTTTTTAGAACTGTATCCTGGAGACTATAGTGGAAGTTTTGGTCTTCCCTAGAGTTTGTTTTGTGGTCAAACAGTTCCCAGGAACCAAGTACCTAGGAGGCTAGGGGGTGGGGGTCTGGAGTTTCTTTGTGTTCAGTTTTGGCCCTAGGCTCCAGGAGGCCAGAGGATCTGGAGTTTCCTTGTGTTGGAGGCCTACGTGTCTTTTCTGTATCCTGTCATGGCTGCTAAAGCAGGGGCTGAGTGAGGGTCTGGTCCCTTCATTTCTAGAAGTGAAGCCTTTTAGTTTAGCTTACCCCTTTCAAAAAGCAAGTTAGGGAGGAAAGGATTTATATGGCTTACACTTCCACAGCACTGTTTATCATCAAAAGAAGCCAGGACAAGAACTCAAACAGGGCAGGAACCTGGAGGCAGGAGCTGATGCAGTGGCTACTAAGGAGAGCTGCTTACTGGTTTGCTCCTCCTGACTTTCTTTCTTTTGTTTTTAAAGATTTATTTATTTATGTATATGAATGCTCTGTCTTTCTGGGCATCAGATCCCATTACAGATGGTTCGGAGTCACCATGTGTTTGCCGGGAATGGAACTCAGGCAGGACCCCTGGAAGAGCAACTGGTGCTCTCAACCACTGAGCCATCTCTCCAGTCCAAGACTTATTTTCTTACAGAACCAAGAACCACCAGCCGAGGGATAGCACCACCCATAATGGACTGGACCCTCCTCATCATTCACTAATTAAGAAAATGCCCTTCAACCTACAGGCTTTCCTACAGCCTGGTTTTTATTTATTTATTTGTTTGTTTGTTTGTTTTATTTTGGTTTGTTATAACAGGGTTTCTCTGCGTTGCCCTGGCTGTCCTGGAACTTGCTCTGTAGAGCATGTCGGCCTCGAACTCATAAAGATTCGCCTATCTTTGCCTCCTGAGTGCTGGGACTAAAGGCGTGTGCCACCACTGCCTGGCTAGAGGCATTTTCTTTTCTTTCTTTTTTTTTATTTTTTATTTTTCAAATTAGGATTTCTCTGTGTAGCTTTGTAGACTGTCCTTGAACTCATGGAGATTGTATTGAATTGGATTTCAGGCAAACAAACAAGGGGGAAAAGGAATTTAGTCCCCTCCCGAGTGCTGGGACTAAAGGCATGCACCACCACCACCCGATTGGAGTCATTTTCTTAATTGAGGTTCCCTCCTCTCAAATGACTTTAGCTTGTGTCGAATTGACATAAAACTATCCAGTATATATGCCCATAGGGCAGAGCCTGGCCCCGTTTCTAGTGTCACTGAGTCCCCACTCTGAATCCCTGACCCATGTGAAAGGCTATGTTTAGTGTATAATTTGCAGCTGTCCCTTGCTCTATCTGAACCCCAAAGAGCAGAAGGTTTCCAGTGTGGAGCCAGGGATTCAGGAAGAAGGAGCCAGGACATATGGCCACCCCTACCTTCTGCTGTATACACCTCTATGTGAGCATCAGGTCCCAGGATAGAGGAGCAAAGTGTCCATGGCTTTGGAAAGAAGGCTACCCCAGCTACCTGACACTATTATACACAACAGGAATGTAAGTTAATACCTTCCCCCCTTTTGGACAAGGTCTGACTATGTAGCCCAGGATGGCCTCAAACTCATGATCCCCCCGCCTTCCAAGTTCTGTGATTATAAGTACCTGCCACCACACCGGGTCATTCAGCTTTCTTTAGCTTATAGGGTCCAGTATGTTAATAACACATTCTGAACCACAAACCGTAATTCATCCTACACCATGTCAAAAACATGTGTTAAAATGAATTGATTTTGGGCTGGAGAGGTGGCTCAGAGGTTAAGAGCATTGGCAGCTCTTCCAGAGATCCAGAGTTCAAGTCCCAGCAACCACATGGTGGCTCACAACCATCTATAATGAGATCTGATTCCTTCTTCTGGCATGCAGGCAGAATACTGTATGCATAATAAATAAATAAATCTTTAAAATAAAAAATGAATTGATTTTATTGAAATTAAGAAGATGAAGCACACACACACATACACACACACACACACATACACACACACACAGAGAGAGAGAGAGAGAGAGAGAGAGAGAGAGAGAGAGTTATGTATTTGAACACTTGTTCCCCGGATGGTGGCACTGTTTGGGGGTGGTTAGGAGGTGTGGATTTGTTGGAGGAAGTATGTCACTGGAGATGGGCCTTGAGAGTTTGAAGATTTGCATCATTCCCAGTTCTCTCCACTCCATGCTTGTGGTTCAAGCTCTCAGTATCCTTGCTGCAGTCACCATGCCTGCTTGCTACTAGGATGGTTCTACTATGATGGTGATGGACTCTTACCCTTCTGGAACTGTAAGCACAAATAAATAAATCTATAGGTTGCTTGGTTATAGTGTTTTATCACAGCAACAGAAAAGTAACTAATACAATTCTTTAAGTGAAAAAACTGATTTGGGATTTTTGTTGTTTTAATCATGTGTAGCCTGGTAAGGCTCCTATCTCCTGAGCCTTCTCCTTCTCTTTTGTATTGATTAGCTAATTGCATCAGATGGGTTCCTATCAACTGGATGAGACACAATCTCCACCTACATCAGGGATAAAGGAGCTACATTGACCCCTGTGTGTTGCTACCCTGGTTTGGGTCCTGACACACTCATTTTTCAAAAAAAAAAAGAATTGCTTTGCCAAGATATTTTTGCTGTTTGTGTATGTTCCTTTGACATGGGGATTATTCCTAACACTTAGGAGCTGTGTGCTATAGCAGAAGTCTGTATATCCCAGCACAGGAAATGCAGAGCCAGGAGAATCAGTGGGTTTTGAGCCAGTTTGAGTTATATGAGAGCTTATTTAAAACTAACAGACAAACAAAATTTGGTGACTTTAAATAATCTGTATATGGTTGAGACACACTAAAACTCAGCAATACCTCGAAGTGTTTTGTCTTGTTTTCAAACTGTTTCAAATTTAGATTATTGTTAGTGACCATGAAAAACAAATGAACAAACAAAAATGAAACCTCAAGAAACAGGACTGGCTTCTTACACTGTCTTTCATTTCGGGAGCATCTGACCACACTGTGGTCTGTGGATGTAAGTTTTGGGTTTTGGTGAGACTTGCCATGAGTTCAATACTTAAAACTCCAGTCCTGTTAACATGGAGTTTCTGTTTCTGAGCTTTTTGTTTGGATTTGGTCTGGGTGACTTTATGACTGAGAGCTGTTTTTTCCAGAAGGTCTGGGGATAGACTGCTTCTTGAGGATGGCAGTCACAGAAACCAGGCGACAACAGGAAATAGAAATGTTAAAAGCAAAGGAGCAGCTGTCAGCCAGGCCACCAGTAGAGGGTGCACTTGTGTGAGACATGAACTTCAATCGCCTGGGCACCTGCATGAACAACTATGATTAAAGAATAACAGCTGTAAGATGTAAGGAAAGGCTCTGTGACACCTGCCATCACCAGCTTTATGACAAGAGAGAAACTAGCTGTAAGATATAAGGGAGTCCGTGCGGTACCCCCCATTATGAACCAGATAAAAGATTAATTAGCTATAAGATGTCAGGGAAGCCTCTGTGATACACACCCCATTAACCAACTACGATAAAAGAGCAAGTAGGTGTAAGATATAAGGGGATACACTATGATACCCTCCACGATGAACTATGATAACAGTTAACTATAAGATATAATGGAAGAGCTGGGCGAGATGGTACATGCCTTTAAACCCAGCATTTGGAAGGCAGAGGCAGGTGGATCTCTGTAGGTGGCCAGACTGGTGGTCTACAAATTGAGTTCCAGGAGAGACGGGGCTATGTAGAGAGGCCCTGTCTAAAAACAACAACAAAATAATAAATAAATATAAAAGATGTAAGGAAACATGGTGGCAACTGCTCCCCTCTCCTTGCTTCCCAGGCCCCGTGACCATGCTCTATGTGAACAAACATCTGTTCACCCCAAATAGGACATCAGTAGCAAACAACACACAACCACACATACAATTTCATGAAAGTAGCTTGGGGAATTATTGAGTTTAATTGGGACTACTTATAGTAGCGTGGGCAAAGAGTCATTTACAGGAGTGTAGGCGACTTATAGGCGACCATACCATTGAAGAAAAAAATCTCTCAACAACTGCTAAATATATATATAACCCTTGAGGAGGAGTGAAGGGGAACCTCACGAGTCCCTCCCACACCCATGGTAGAAAATTAATGGGCCCAGTCGTGTGCAGGTCTGTGGGTAGTCACAGCTGTTGACAGTAGCTGAGGATAAACATTAACTTTTGGTGGTAAATGTCTGATGCCCAAGGGCTTAGATGGCTTCACTGCCTCCAACACACTTTTTTCTCTTGGGCTGGTTCCACTCCCTGGGCCAAGCTATCCTTGGCAGATGTTTCATTGCTCTGATATCTTCAGCATCCTGGGGTCTCAAACTCAGGGCCTCCATGCAGAGACTCCCCTGCTACACACTTGGCCTCAGAGGCTTTGAAATTGTGGGGGAAGATTCAACAGCCAGTTTACTCCTGTGTCTTTCCCGACTCTAAAACCAGAAGCACTTGATACTGCCAAGCTCAGCAGCCAGCTTGGGATAGAGTCTGCCAGCCAATCACCTTTGCAGCTGCTTTTGTCTGCTGTGGCTTTTTAGGAGCAGGGAGTTCCTCAGGCCTAAATTTTCACATGTAGGGAGTTTACCAGGGTACCCCTCTCTTAATTCCTGCTAAAGACCAGTCCTCTCCTTAATCTCCTTATTCCTTTCATACAAGCAGTGTCTCTAACATTAAATTTCCTGGTGCTCAGAGATCACTGACTACGGTCTGACAAATGGGGAACCTGCATAAGACCAAACTAGACTCCCTTAATATATAGGTGACAATGGTGACTGGGACAACATATGAGGCCACTGGCAGTGGGTCCAAGACCTAACACTAATGCACAACCTGACTTAGTGGAGCCCATTCTATATGGAAAGATACCTTGCTCAGCTTAGACACAGGAGTGTGGGGAGTGGGGAGGTGCCTTGGACATGCCTCAAGGAGATGATGGGACAGACTTAGTAGACTTCCTAGGGGAGACCTTACCCTCTCTGAGGAGCAGATGGGAGGTAGAGGGGGCATAGGAGGAACAGGAGGAGAGGAGGGAGGGGGAACTAGCATTGGAATGTAAAAAATAAATAAATAAAAAAGGAAAAAATTTCCTGGTGCTGTTTTACCCTTCAAACTAGACATTTTGTATGTCTTTCTGTTCCGTTTACTCTTTTACATGTAAACCTGCATAAGAATGGTTACTAACTACATGACAGAGTCAATTTAAAATAATGTAAGGGACAATTTCCTTGTCAGAGGAGATTCAGGTCAGCCTAATATTGACTCTGTCATGCTGTTGAGGTCTTAACAATGGTCTAGTCTCTAGTGTGAGAGACTATGGTAGTCAGCGAATAGTCAATGCTGGAATTAGGGAAAAAGCTTTAAACAAGCAATGAAAGAATCTCTCAGGGCCTGGCTTGTGAGGTTATGGGATGTGGGGGCAGATAGGATCAGTTTGAGTGTTGTAGACGCAGAGCAATATAGCCAGACATTTCTCCTTGAGACACAGGCTGCATAGACTGAGGCAGGACAAGGGGAAGCAGCACAGGAAGCTCATGGAAGCCATTAGAGATGCTTGCTCATCAAGCAGCTAAGGTTTCCATAGATATCAGAGCCTGGAGGACAACAGAGGAGGGACAGGAACAACAAAGGAGGGACAGGCACCACTGAGGGAACTGGGTTTGAGGGAAGAGAGGTGTGGGGCCCAAGTGACAGGGCCTGAGAGGACGGCGTTCACCAGAGACTCAAGGAAGACTTGACTAGCAAGGGCCTGGAGACCGTCATGGGGCTTCAGCAGCTTTGCTGAGCCCTTTGGTGGAGTAGAAAAGGCTTTGGAGGATTAAGGAGGACTTTGGAGGACTTAGGCCAGCATGTAAAAAGTGAGAGCCGCCTAGAGATAAGAGAAATGTAAAGCAGAGAAAGAGGTCTGTCTTTATTACCTGAAGGTAAATGTGGCAAAATTTGTGTCAAGCTCAAATTCCTGAAGGGGGAAAAATGACAGAAAACAAGATTCTGTGCCAATGAACTCCTGGAAGCCTTTAAAGCCAGAAGAGCAGAAGGCATACATGATAAAACAACACAGAAGGTCAGGCTGCCCCAGGGCTGGGCTGTAATTCCTCCAAATGAAGAAGACTACCTTTCTCACCTGAAAAAAGGATGTACTATGAGTGAAAATAGTTTGCCTAGCCAGAAACTCTCCCAGCAGCAAGGTATGTGGGGTGGAGAAGCAACAGCCTTACCTACACCCACAATGCCAACCCAGAGACTCTGACCCAAGAAACCAGTCTGAGCAGCAGGTACAGCAGGCACAGCAGGGGACAGCCAGATCTCATTTGCCATTAGCCCTGAGCAGGGCTGAGCTCTCTAGCCAGCCCCACCAAGCTGATGGGACTGGGGAAATACAGGGAGGTTCCATGAAAGAGCTCCAGGGTGTGGAAGTGAAATGGCTCAGAGAGAGTGTGTGCTACTGAGAGTTGTGGAGAGCCAACTAAGTGCCTCCTGTCCATGCTGTGAATCTGTGGGGGTAACCAATGATACTAATGGATAACCCCCCACCATTATTAGACTCTGCTTATGACTGACTTTAGTATCTCCTGAGTAGTGAACGTGTGTGATCACCTGACAGCCCAAAACAGATGACAAGGGACTTCCACGTGCTTCACTCACGTTTCATTATGAGACAGTGACTCAGGACTTTGGATCACTGCTCCATCCTGTGAAGAATGGTTTTATTACATATGGCCAGCACAAGGCTAACCCTAGTGTTGTGGAGATTTGGAGACTCATTTAAGAGACATGTGAGTGTACTTGAAGAAGCCAGCTTGGGGCATTAGTTCACAAAGGGAGGGAAGATCAGGTGTTTCTGTGGAATTCTTGGGAGCTTTGTGGCTGGATAAGGCACAAGTGATACCCACCAAAGAGATAGGGGAACGTTTGCAATGCCCTGTGCCTAGAAATGTTAAAGAGTACACAAAAGGTGAAAACAGAGGCACTCGGAAGCCATAAGGTGATTAATTGGCAACCCCAGTGTTAAGAATGGGTAATTTCTCTAGGAGTTATTGGCCATGGAGGCCCTAGAAGTCCTTAAAACAATAAAGGCCAGCCTGGCGTTGGTGGCGCACGCCTTTAATGCCAGCACTCGGGAGGCAAAGGCAGGTGGCTCTCTGTGAGTTCGAGGCCAGCCTGGTCTCCAGAGCGAGTGCCAGGATAGGTTCCACAGCTACAGAGAAACCCTGTCTTTCACTGAGGCTCCCCTCGCTGTGAGAAACCCTTCAGACTCTACTTGCTTCACTTGACTCTCCATCATGTGCCATTGCTTGAAAGAAACAAAGGAAGTGGGTAGTAACACTTTCTCTAGGTTTAGCCTCTTGCTGATGCCAAGGTTGGAGTGACTAGAGGCTTAACTGCCATTTGTAGATCATTGTTTTAATCAGCCACTCCGGCACTCTCCCTCTCCCAGCTCATCTGACCCTAACATTCAAGGTCCACTAACTGGGGCCCAAGTATTCACATATTTGAGCCTACAGGGTTCATTCTGGTTCAAACCACCATGCAGAGACTAGGTGTGGGGCCAGATTCTCAGCTGACTTCCTGACCTAGTAGAGCAATCTCTAAAGTAGAGCACTTTCTCTAGGTGGTAACTGGAGTTTGACCCAAAGTCTCAGTGAGTTCTTTACTTCAGATGATGACTGGATGGAACTGGGTCCTTTACAATTTTTTCTCATGTGTGTGCACATGGGCACGCATATGCTTGTGTGGAGGTTCAGAGGAAGACTTTCAAGACTTGGTTCTTTCTTTCCACCCCATGGGCTCTAGGCTCAAACTCAGGTTGTCAGACTTGGTGGCAAGTACCTTTACCTGCTGAGGGTGACAAGAACCCAGATCTGTCAGCAGCAGCTAGAGCAGGAGCAGGAGACACAGCTCCACAGAGCCTCAGTAGCCTGAGGAGCCGGGGTCAGAAGCCTCCCCTCAGGGGGAGTTCTTTCTGACTGCGTAGCAGAAAAGGGTTTCAGGCCCAGCCAGGGTGAAGCGGTAAGAAAGAGTTTGTTAACGGGTGGTGGCGGCACACACCTTTAATCCCAGCACCCAGGAAGTACAGGCAGGTAGATCTCTGTGAGTTTGAGGCCAGACTGGTCTACAGATCAAGTTCCAGGACAGGCTTCAAAGCTACACAGAGAAACCCTATCTCAAAAAACAACAAAACAAAACAAAACCTCCCAAAAAGAAAAGAAAAAAGGGGAGGACGGGTGGGAGAAGGGAACTGGGATTGTCATGTAAATCAATCCTGTTTCTAATTCAAATAAAAAAAATTTTTAAAAAATTTAAAAAAAAGAAAAGAAAAAAGAAAAATATGGGATTGTTGGTGGAAGTGTTGTTGTTGCTGTGTGTGGCATTGCGCACACATTCCTGTGTGTGTGTGTGTGTGTGTGTGTGTGTGTGTGTGTGTATGTATGTATGTGTGTGTGTATATATGTGTATGTGTACACATGTATTTGTGTGTGTGTGTATTTGTGTATGTGTACATATGTATTTGTGTGTGTGCATGTGTATTTGTGTTTGTGTGTGTGTGTGCGTGTGTGTGTTGGTCCTTACTTTCTGCTTCCTTTGAGGCAGGGTCTTTGTTGTCAGGGTTTTTGTTGTTGGCAGCAGTGCTGTGTACTCCAGACTACCTGCCTTGAGAGTTTCCCACATTATCCTGTCTGCCTCCCACCTCAATGTAGGAATGCTAAGGTTACACACTACAACAAATGTGAGTATGGACTCCTCAAGAGAGAACCCACTTAAATGTCTTAACCAGTAGCACATAAGTGATTTTAGAGGCTTCTGAAGTTATAGTCTTTAAAGGGGTCTCTTCCTTTTCCTTTCCTTCCTAACTTCCTTCCTTCCTTCCTTCCTTCCTTCCTTCCTTCCTTTTTTGAGGTGGGGCTTCATGTAGACCATGAAGATTCAAGCCAGCCTTGAACCCTGAGGATGACCTTAACCCTCTGCCTCCCGAGTGCTGGGATTACAGGGATGCACTACCTCGCCCAGTTAAGTGGTGCTGGGGCTGAAGTCTAGAACTCCATGCATGCTAGGCAAGCATTGTACCCACTAAACTATACTTCCAGTCCTGTTGAAAGGGTTTTCTTTTCTCTTTATTTTATTATTATTGTTTGTTTTTTTCTGGAAAGGGTTTCTCTGTGTAGCCCTGGATGTCCTGGAACTCTACTTGTAGATCAGGCTGGTCTCAAACTCAGGGATCTGCCTGCCTCTGCCTCCTGAGGATTGGGATTATAGGTGTGTGCTATCATGCCTTGCTAATTATTTATTTTATTTTACTTTAATTGAGATAGATAGCTCAGGCTTGCCTGGAACTCACCCTGTAGACGAGGCTGCCCTCGAACTCAGGAATCCACCTGCTTCTGCCTCCAGAGTGCTGGGATTAAAGACATGTGCTTTAATCTACTGGGCTTCTCTCTCTCTCTCTCTCTCTCTCTCTCTCTCTCTCTCTCTCTCTCTCTCTTTCTCTCTCTCTTCCTTTCTTTTTTTTCTTCCTTCCTTCTCTCTCTTTCTTTTCAGTAAATGAGATCCTAGGTTTTTTTTTTTTTTTCAGAGTTGTGCTGAACAGAAATACAGCCTGATAAAATCAAACCATAGGATATAAGAACTGAGGGAATGCTTCCCATACTAGTTTCAAGGGAGTGAGGATGTATGCTGTGACTATAAACAAGTTCATAATTTCATTTGTAAAAGTCTCAGAAAGCTGCAGGCTTCAAACTGGGAAAGGAGTGAGGCTAACACAAATATCCTAGTTTGACCTAGGCATGATTCATTGCTATGTAAGATACTTATGTGAAATATCTCTGCATAAAAGAATGTTGTTTCTCTGGGAGATCCTCATAGCAAATTCTGTCAATGGTGATGAATTCTTGACTCTTAGAGGACAAGAGTCACAGGCGAAGGCCTCCTTTTCCTTCTATGTTCCCTTTGTTTTTTTTCCTCTGGCTAGAGGCCTGTCTGCTCCCTCCAAGGCTTCCCAGCCTTTGCCTTCTGGTGCTGGGTGTCACTCCTAAGAGGGAGCTCTGACACAGGACAGGAGAGATGACAGGAACAGATGTTCTGGCTGGAAGCTCCAGGTGGTGGGAGAGCTGAGGAATTCGGGAGTGGCTAGAGGCTGGAGGAGGCAGCACTCCACAGATCAGCACCACCCCCACCCTGACTTTCCAGAGAAACAACCTCAGGCTCTAGAGCTGGTAAACCGCTGTGCTGGTGCGAGAAGCATAGGAAGCCAGGGTGCTCTGAGTCAGGAAGGGCTGTGTGAGAGGAGGGCATCATGAGGAAGGAGTCAGAGCAAGGAAACTCAACCCAGCTTCCATCCCAGAAGAAGCTGGGCTGACCTGTGGGGAACAGGCTGCAAGTTCATGAGGTTGGAAGCTCTGAGGTCACTAGACTAGATGACGAGCTGTGCAGAGGTCACCTTGGGGCCTTTATCATCCAGATTGGCAGAAACATGGGATCTCTCTGGAGAGTTCATCCCAAGTACCACAGAAGACAGCAGTGATAAGTCAGAGGGGGTGAGGTAATGACAGACACAAACATTTTTTTACTGTGTGTATGTATGACGTGTGTGATGTGTGGGAGCATGTGTGTGTGTGTGTGTGTGTGTGTGTGTGTGTGTGTGTGTGTGTGTGTGAGTGTCATAACATGTACATGGAGATCAGAGGACAATTTTTAGGAGTTGGTCTCTCCTTTCTCTGTGGGTTCTGAGGATGGAGCCCAGGATATCCATCAGACCTGAGCAGCAATAACTTATACCTGCTGAGCCATCTCACCAGGCCAGAGATTTTTTTTTAAATGTGTGTGCATGTTTGTATGTATACGTATTTTGTGCATGCAAGTATTCATGAGCATACATGTGGAGGCTAGAGGTCAAACCCTGGTATCTCTCTCAATGTCTCTCACCTTGTTTCTGGAGTAGGGTGTAGAATTACTTGTCTCGCCGAAGCAATAACATACCTGATAAGATCATTGTAGTGAAGAGTTTGTTTTGGATCACAGTTCCAGGAGATACCATCCTGTCTGTCACGATGCTGGGTAAGGTTTGGTGGCAGGAACAGAAGTGGCTGACCACACTGCATCCAAAGTGAGAAAGTAGAGAGTAATGAATGCTCTCTCTCTCTCTCTCTCTTTCTCTCTCTGTTGCATTTGGTCCAACAGTTATGGTGGATCTCCCCATTTCTTGGAGATTAGATCTGGGATCCAAGGTTGCAATCGATGCTACAACACATGTGCAAAGTGAAAGTAAGTTGGCAAAGTAGCATTGACTATTGCTAAAACGTGCACTGCTTCGTTCAGGCAGCAAGCACACTGAACAGGAAATAAATGTGCTAGATTTTTATCCTTGAGGGCACTGTGTCTTTTCCCCACTGGCTGGGGTTTGAACTCACAGTGTTTGAAGGTTGGCTGATTGAAAAAAATTGGTGTTAAGAAAACAAAGAAGCTGGGCGTTGGTGGCACAGGCCTTTAATCCCAGCACTCGGGAGGCAGAGCCAGGCGGATCTCTGTGAGTTTGCGGACAGCCTGGTCTCCAGAGCGAGTGCCAGGATAGGCTCCAAAGCTACACAGAGAAACCCTGTCTCGAAAAACCAAAAAAAAAAAAAAAAAAAAAGAAAAGAAAAGAAAAAGAAAGAAAACGAAACTGGGGTAAAGGGTCTCCTGTCTTGGCCCACTGAGTTTTGAGAATGCCACAGACTTCTGTGTAAACAACGTTTTTTCAGGAGTCACATTGTGAAGGTTCCATTCCTATGATCAGTCCTTTGCTAGAAAAGACTTGGATTCCTTCCGACTATTTCCTTCACTACCTCAGTGTACCCAACCTAGAAAATTCCGTGTAGCAGCCCAGGCACCAGCACCAGTTACTCGGCAACCTGTCAAGCTGTTCAATATTAGATAGCAACCACAACCTGAGCTCAACAGTTCATTTAGATTAGCTGGCCAGCAACCCTTAGGGATCCTCCTGTCTCTGCTTCCTGGGCACTGGAATTACAAGTGTGTGCCACTGTGTCCAACTGTTTTATGTGGGCCCTGGGGATAGAACTCGGGTTCTCATGCTTGTGCAGTAAGCCACTTACTGATTGAACCATCTCCTTACCCAGAGAGTTCTTAAGACTAAATTATATCCCAGGTTCTAAGTGAAATGTTGTGTTTACAACAGTAAACAAGCAAACAAGCCAAAGACTAAAACTAGAGTATTCTGAGGTCCACTTCTGGCATGGCACCAATGAGGACCTCTGTAGATCTGTCTCCCTTCGAAACTGGGGAAAACCAATGCAAACAAGTACACTTTTAAAGTCTTAGGGAATTATCGTCATTGTGAACAAAAAATGAAGGATCATCTACAAATGCTCCTTGGCTTATGATAGTGTTCCAACCAGATAAACTCATGGTAAGTTTAAAATACCTTAAGTGAGAAAAGCATTAAATCCACCTAAATTGCCTTAAACGTGCTTCGAACAGTTAGCAGGCAGTTGGGCAGAATCATCTAACTCATACTATCTTGCAGTGAATGTTGACTTTGCAGGATTCTGATGAAACACCACCAACAAAGCACACTGTGTGTGGGTAGTCTCACCTTGACTGTGGGATGGCTGGGAACAGCTCAGAGAGGGCTTTGGGCAGCAATCCAGGAAGAATACAAAGCCCAAACTCAAAGAGTGGTTTCTACTGGGCAAATGTCATTCTCACATACCGTAAAGTTTCAAAAACCATGAAAACCATTCTAAGTCTAGGACTGTCTGCATTCTAGGGGCTGGAGATGTGCTTAACGATAGGGCACTTGCCTAGCATGTGTGAAGTGAGGAGAGGAGGGGGAGGGGAAGAGGAACCAAGAACGGACCTCACACACTCTTCCTTCAGAGGATCAGAGTTAATCTGACTCATCTGTAGAGTGGTTTATGACTCAGAGAATTCTAGAAATGGCAGTTAGTGGGGGCTTAACAGCTGTGTGTAGTCAGGGAAAGAGACAGAGGCAACTCTGACGAAATCACCTTTATCCTGGGCCACTGTGAAATCACCTTTATCCTGGGTCACTGTGGGTATACCCAAAGCTGTGCCTGCTGAGGAACAAGTAATTCACTCACTAAATCATTAAACAAAGTTTATCTAACAAACTAAATCCAAACAAAGAGTTGGAGAAGGTAACAAATACCTAGAATTATTGCTTCTAACAAAATTATGAAGTGCACAAAACAAAGCAACAGGAAAGCATGACCCAAACACAGACATCGGAAACTTCCGTGACATAGAATGAATGTTGGATTTTTCAGGAACAGAGCTCCAAGTAGCCACCAGCCAGTGTATGTTTCTAGAACTGAAGGGTTCTCTAGCAAAGCATAAGTAAGTAAAGGAACACATGAAGAGGGTATCATGTCACACGGAGAACAGCAGTGGAAGGGAAGAACGTGTGTAAAAGAGACAAGTGGAAATGTGAAGATAAGAAGTAAAATGAAATAAAACTCACCTTGAATGGCTGGTAAGGAGACTTGATCAAGCAGAAGGGACAATGTGTGATTTAAGCATAGGCTGGTGAGCTAGGAGCAGTGGTGCATACTGAGAATCCTATGGACAACCGAGAGAGACAGAGACAGAGAGAGACAGAGACACAGAGACAGACAGATTCAGTGACATACAGAGAGAACACAATTTAAAGAACAGAAGAAATGAATGAAAAAGTGCAGATAGCTTTAGACAAACATGGGGCATCATTGACGGCATCATCCGCCATCCCATCCCTAATTAGATTATCAGAAGAAAGGGTGGAAAAGGGAGAAGGGGAAATAGTCAAGAAATAATGGCAGAAAACTTCCCAAATGTATTGGAGAAATGGGAACCTTTATATCCAGGAATCACAACAAAGTCCAAGAACAACATAAGCTACAGAGAAATGACAGCAAAAATGCTGAAAGTCAGAGGTGATGAGACTCACACCTGAGAGCCAGGCAGTGGTGATGCACACCTTTAATCCCAGCACTCGGGAGGCAGAGGCAGGCAGATCTCTGTGAGTTTGAGAACAGCCTGGTCTACAAGAGCTATTTCCAGGACATCCTCCAAAGCCACAGAGAAACCCTGTCTCGAAAAACCAATAATAATAATAATAATAATAATAATAATAATAATAATAATAATAATAATAATAATAATAATAATAATAATAATAATAATAATAATAATAATAATAAATTGAATTAAATTAAAAAGACTTGCCATTTCCAATCTATCTCTTGCTCTTTGCTTCCAATTTATCAAATTGTAAGCTCTCAGCTGTTCCTACTGCCATGCCTTTGCTCTGTCATCATGTAACCCTCTAAAACAAAAAGGCCAAATTAAATGCTTTCTTTTATCTTTATTTATTTATTTATTTATTTATTTTTGGTTTTCCAAGGCAGGGTTTCTCTCTATTGCTTTGGAGGTTGTCCCCGAACTCGCTCTTGTAGACAAGTCTGGTCTTGAATTCACAGAGATCGCCTGGCTGTGCCTCCTGAGTGCTGGGATTAAAGGTGTGCGACACCAATGCCCGGCTTCAAAGTCTCTTTTCACCACTTCAACTCAGCATTGTGCTGGAAGGTCTAGCCATGGCAGTTAAACAAGAGAAATAATTTCATGCATTAACACTTAAAAAGAAGTAAACTTATCTCTAGACATAGATGCTATTCACTTGTGACTAGAAAATTCCGAGGAATTCTTTGCTGATGGAGCATGTCCTTCTGTATGCTGTGAATATATGTTTCTCTTATTGGTTGATGAATAAATGCTGATTGGCCAGTAGCCAAGCAGGAAGTATAGGCAGGGCTATCAGACTAAGAGAAGGCTGGAAAGAGGGAAGCACAGAGGAGTTACCAGAGAGAGATACCATGTAGCCACCAAAGGAGTAACACACTGGAACATTAAGAGTAAGCCACAGCCTCATGTCAATACATAGTTTAACGGAAATGGGTTAATAATTTAGAGCTAGCCAATAAGAAGCCTGAGCCATTGGCCAAACAGCTTATCATTAATATAAGCTTCTGTGTGTTTATTTGGGACTAAACAGCTATGGGACCAGGTGGGACAGAAGTTCCATCTATACTTCCCAGATATGGGGACAAATGAGTACATTCAGCAAGGTCATGGACTACAAGATCAATATACAAAAGTCAATTTTATCTCTATACACCTGCAATGAGTAACCTGAGCAGGAAGTTGAGAGCTAGATGGTTTGGTTTTTTGTTTGGTTTTTGCTTTTGTTTTTCGAGATAGGGCTTCTCTGTGTAACAGCCCTAGCTGCCCTGGATCTTGCTTTGTAGACCAGCCTGGCCTAGAACTCACAGAGATCCACCTGTCTCTGACTCCTGAGTGCTGGGATTAAAGGCCTGTGTCATCATTCCTAGTGAGAAAATTCTGTTTGTAATGGTGAGAATAAAATACTTATGAATACATCTAGCAAATTCAACATAAAAATTATACTCTAAAACCTACAAAAAGTACTGAAATTCAAGAAGGTTGAGTAACGGGACAAACATCCTAGCTCACAGGCAAGAAGACTTAACAAGAGGTGAATACCTTGCAGGAAGACATGCTCCCCAGACCCTTCTCCATCTTTGGGGAAGCCGGTGAACTGATTTTAAAATCCTATGGAATTAGAGGCTAGAGAGAGAGTCAGTCAGTAACGTGTTTGCAGAACAAGCAGGAGGGCCTATGTAAAAAGCTGGGCATGGGTAAGTGTGTTTCTACTCCCAGTGCTGGGAAAGTGGACACAAGAAGATGTTGATGGTGTCACAGAGGACCCAGAAGAGCCACAACAAGATAAAAATGAACAGCACTTTAGGAAGACATACTTCTTCTGATTTTTAAAAGTAACTACAAAACTATAGTAATTAGAGCAGCATGATACTGGCTGGCACAGAGCACACAGATCAGCAAGGACAAAGTGGAGGCTGCTATGTATGGCTGGACCTTAGAAGCATCCCCAAAGGTCTCATGTGTTGAAGACTTTGTTATAGCCCATGGTGCTACATGAGGTGGAAGGAAATTATGTTAATGGAGACAACCCCTATGCTTAAATCCATGTTAAAAAGATGGCTCAGGCTGGGCGTTGGTGGCGTATGCCTTTAATCCCAGCACTTGGGAGGCAGAGGCCCAGCCTGGTCTACAGAGCGAGTGCCAGGATAGGCTCCAAAGCTACACAGAGAAACCCTGTCTCGAAAAACAAACAAAACAAAACAAAACAAACAAACAAAAAAGATGGCTCAGTGGTTAAGAACAGAGAATCTCAGTTCTGTAACTAGTACCTATAACTCCAACTCCAGGAGATCCGACTCCCTCTTCTGAATTCCAAGGGCACCTACGCTCATGTGTATAAACACACATGCACAAGTGCACATGCGCTTAAAAATAAATAATTAAAACAAAACAAAATCCTTTTCCTGGGCCAGGGAGATGGCTCAGTGGTAAAGGTCCTTGCCACTCAAGCTTGGTGACGTGAGTTCAGATCCCAGGACCTTGTGTGAAAGTCATACATGCTGTTGTCCTGTGTCTGAAAATCCAGTACTCCTATGGAGATAAGGAACAGATAGCCCGCCCCCCCCCCAGGAAATTCATGGGCCAACTAGTCTGGAACACACACAGTGCATCCAGGTGCAACTGCAAGAGAGATCCCGGTTTCAAACAAAGCAGAAGAGCAAGGATCAACACCTGAGGCTATCCCCTGACCTCCATGCATGTTCTGTGGCACATCTGTGTCCCCACACATGAATGTATACACACACAGACACACACATACAAAACTACAACAACAAACCCATTCTCAAACTCCAGATCTGTTTCACACTGACTGGTTCTGAAACCCTTTTCTGCTATGCAGAGGCCTGTGGGGAAGCCTCTGACTGTCTCCCCAGGTCACTGAGGTGGCCCTGTGGAGTTGTGTCTCTGGCTCCAGCTGCGGCTGGTATGTCTGGGTTCTTGCCTCAGTCAAATAATTCAGAGACAAACAAAATAAGGAATCCAAATGAAGTTTATTACCAAGATGAGGTACATACCTGAGTGTGTGTGTGTGGGGGGGGGGGGGCGGGACAGACAGTCTTTCCAGGGTCAAGAGGCCTCTTGGGATCCTAGACAGCTCATATTATAGATAAGCTTAAATGGAAGGGGATTATGCATGATTTAAGATGGGGAACTCCAAGAATCGGTTGGGCTTTCCCCAGTGGGGTTTGCTCCCCATTTATAGTCTTACATGGGGTTTTCCAGATGCTTCATGGGTAAGATATGTGTAGGGAGCAGGGTTTTTTGTAGTTTTACTCTGTGTTCTTTTGGAGACAGAGTTTCAAATAACCTAGGCTGACCTTGAACTCCTGATCCTCCTGCAGCTTCCACCTCCTACTGTTGGAATTACCAGCACGTACCTTGAGGCCCGGTTAGTTCTTGTCAAGACACTTTGATAGTCCAGACGCTCTTGAACTCACTATGATGATCATCTTGCTTCAGCCTCCTGAGTGCTTACCACAGGGTGCGGTCGGGATGGGCAGGCTGTTTTGCAAGGCTAAAGACACTGGGATGGTAGTAGAATGAGGCAAAGGACAGCCAGCAGCCAGAGGCCATGTGGGCCTAAGCCAGCTCTGTGGTTACATCACCTTCCAGCTGCCTTGCGTCTATGTGCTTGTCTAGCCAACCTCATGTGTCACAGGTGCTTTCTTTCCTGGTTCCAGTAAGGAAGCTGGCAGTTCTGGCTCCTTTTTTAAGCTCTCAGTGGTGGTGGCAGAGACTAGAGGGGGGCAGCAGAAGTTGCTACAAGAAGGGGAGCCAGTACTTGCTTGTTAGTTGCCTGTGGAGCACCTGGCAGTCTTAGGGCTCTCTTGTGCAGGTATACTGGTGTTTGGGGCCTCCTTCTAGTCGCATGTTCTTTTGTTATGTCCTGGGAAGTGGAGTTTGAGTTGTGACATCACAGGGCCACTGACTGGGCTAGTGGGTTTCTGTACATATCCATTCTTAGTAAGATGGTGCCAAACTGTCCTGGAGTGGATTCTGGGGCATTTCCTGAAGGATAGGTTAAACATTTTGTCTTTAAAGAATCGATGATCAAGCCCTGGTCATCGAATCTGTGGGAGGCAAACTTAACCCCACATACCATGGGAAGTTGTAACTAGAATTTTCAGGGCAAAAAACGTGAACTCAGGCAGCCTCAGAAAGTCAGGTTGACCACATGGACCTAATATGACAAAAGGGGATAACAGTGAAAAGCAGAGATTTATTCCCTGTGGCCACGTTTGAAAGAGGAAATAAAGAGCCCAGTAGCCCCATCTGTCTTCAGGGGCTGACATGAGATTGGGGGCTAAACAGGAAGCAAGGAGACAGGAAACGAGACCCACGCTTAACTATGCCATCCTGGTCCGGGTGTGCCATGGCTGATCAGCTCAGGTCTGGTTCTGCAAAGTAGTCGGGGAAGTCTATTTTGCTCAATTGGATGGTCATCCATGGTATAACTGCCCTCCTCTGGTGTGTGGGTGGGGGTGGGGGTGGTGTTTGTCCTGAGGGCTCCTGGTTGCTGGGGGTTGTTTCAGTTCGTTTTTATAATGATGTTCACTAACTAGTTCTGTTGTTTGAGGAATCCAAGTGATCCTCACACACTGGCTGTGTGAGCCAGTGACTCGGAGGGAAAGGAAGACAGACAGTAGGAAACAGAGCTGAGGGCTGGTAAATGAGTCTGGGCCTGTAGCTGCCACCCCTTTCACCAGCTCCTGACCTCCTCCCCCATTCTAAGCCATGCCAGTCAAAGGGTTCTACAGTATCTCAGAGAGCTGAGCTGTGCTCACCCTCCTGTGAAGAGCAGATGCTTAGACCACACACTGTCCTGGCCAGGGGCAGTCAGCAGTCTGAGACTGTAGTCTTCGACACCCGAGTTCAGAGGGGCAAGCATTTCCTATATCAGATTGGGGTGGTGTGTGCCAACCCTCAGCTCTACCATTCTGAGGCTCAAAAGCCTTGGCTGAGACTGAAGCAGAAAGAGGCAGCTTAATTTCCTGCCACCTTGAGTCTGTGACAGGGTGGGCAAGGGCAGAGAGCAGAAGCAGAGGCCCTGAGGAGGCCTGGATGGGTCACTTGGTCCTCAAGAGCAGGCCACCACATTGCTGTTCTCCTGTTTTGCTCTTCCCTCAACTGTTTTTGTTTGTTTTTTTTAAATATGTCGTGTGTGTGTGTGTGTGTGTGTGTGTGTGTGTGTGTGTGTATGTGTGTGTGTGTGTGTGTGTGAGAAGTGTAAAGAGGAATAAATCTCACATTTCATAAACCTTCAGAATATAAGCTATAAGAACGGACTGAGCTACTCAAACTTCTTCAACCTGTTCACCAATGCACACTGGTTGTATTTGTGGCCTTCCAACTGTCACCTGCAGCTATGTTGTCAGACAAAGAAATAAATACAGAAGCCACACACAAAATAGTTCTGCTCAACAAATGGTGCTAGCAAAACTAGATATCCATCTCAGAACAAAATCAGATCCATTATATTTCATCCCACACAAGATCAATTTAATCAAAGACCTTGATTAAATTTAAAACCTGAAACATCAAAACTTCTAGAGGAAAGCTGCAATGTCTAGCTGTAAGTAAGAACCCATAAGTGGCCAGGCAGTGGTGGCATGCACCTTTAACCCAGCACTCGGGAGGCAGAGGCAAGAGGATCTTTGAGTTTGAAGCCAGCCTGGTCTACAGAGTGAGTACCAGTACAGCCAGGGCTACTAGAGAAACCTTGTCTAGAAAAAACAAAACAAACAAACAAAACCCCAAAACAAACAAAAAAGAAAAAAACGAAGGAAGAAAGAAAGAAAGAAAGAAAGAAAGGAAGGAAGGAAGGAAGGA